AGCAGAGAGTATTGAGACAGAGAGAGAGGCTGTTTGCCTTTGCTATAGTGGATGGCTTACAGTAGCACAGAGGTTCACCTCCCAGACAGCTTGCCCACTGCTAAGCTGACTGGTTATTAACCAATCTGCCAACAACAACTGCCAGTCATCCTACAAATGACTGTTTTCACACGTTGCCAGATATTCTGCTATACTTTACAGAAAGTATTTATGTTGTAGTGAGACTGTAAATAAGTTGTAGAGGCTGATGCTTTGATAGCAATCCACCATTTGTGTGATAGCCACCATAGTTGCTTGCAAAATTAACCTCTGCTCTATATTTATAGTCTTAATAATTTCAGCCAGTAGCTTGTTGGTGTGAGGTGAATTGCCTGGAGGGATTCATACATGGTTTATAACAAACCTCTTTGCTGTTGTATAAATGTAGCAGGCTAACCTGCCTCAATGGTGTTGCTCTCGCCTGCATGTCAAGCGTCTTATTGGCGTAACATTGATCTGTTGTCCTTTACAGCTTCCTCTCTGTTCAGTGTCTATCCCATTCTGTGGGTGTGGATGCTGGGGTGTGTGTGTGCTCTTCCAGAAGATAAAACAGCTGTTTGAGAGCAAGGAGTAGGTTTTTTTCTGTCTTGTGCACTACTTAAATATTTTTGTAGTCACACATTTGAAGCCATCTGTAGAGATCATGCTTCTCCTAATGAAATCTCCTCTATTAATCTCAGGAGAACTCTGCTATCTTACTACCCATGTAATTTAATAGGTTTAAGTGACTGCTACCAACCCAGTTAACTAAGACAAGCACCTCGTGGGTTGTAGCGGCTGCATGTTGGGAGCCGAGCCAGATGTTCCCCCAGTTGCAATATCAGTTAGTGGTAAAGGTCTTTAGATGGTCTCTGCCTGAGTGATTTATCAAGAACAGCCATTCACAGAAACTTAGCATTTGAGTGTTATTAGAGTGGAGAGGATATCTCCATTGTGTGTCATCAAGCTTGAGATTTCTTTAGTTATCTGATTTTGAAAAGCCTCTATTTAGTCTTGTCAGGAAGCAGTCATCTCCACAGCGTATTTCCTAATTTTATCACTTTGTATGTTAAATTAGCCAAAGTGTGTCGACATCTAAATTACTGCCTGTGTGATAAGCCTCTAATATGTGCACATTAGCCGTTAAATATATTATGTTTATTGCTCTGTTGAAACCCAAGTCTTGAAAACATCATATTATATCTGCTTCAGTAGCTAAATGTGTCAGCGTGTAAGTGTTCAGGTCATATGACAGCGTCGTTTTTGATTCTCTTTGCATGGTTATGAGATCTAAAATCACAGACCTGTTCAAAAGACTCCTATGCATAGGTGTACCTCCTCTTCAGTAAAGTAGTTTAGCCTGGTAGCCATTCCCCTTCTGTAATTCAGTGACTTTTGTCCCCGAGGTGTTGACCTGGATTTTTTTATGTTTGGTCTGTGCTCTTGTATGATCAAGCTTTGCCAGCCTTCTCCAGCCAAACTTGACTGTTTCTGCTGTATTTTAACACTTCATTATTTCACATGATTCATAATAGTTCTTTTTGTTGTTATGTAAAAAATGCAGTCTGTGATGTTGTTCCCAGGGCATGTGAGGTGGAGTCTAAGAGTAAATGAAGGTGCTCCACATTCCAGCTGTTTGAGATGTTTGCCTTTAAAAAAAAAGAAGAAAAAAAATGCTGTGGTATTTTTGTTTCTCCTCTTTTGTTTCTCTCTCTTTTTTTTTTTTTAAAAGAACACATTTAAGGGGGCGGGGGGATGATGACGGCGACATAACGTCACAACCAGAGAGCTGTGAATCCAATGTAGCAGTGGGTTCGCGACCGTCAGCTTTGTCAGCATTGCTGCAATATTTTGTGACAAGTTACTAGAACACTATTTCACATGTGACTGTGGTATTTTTGTTTCTCTTCTCTGCATGCCATAGCAGCTTATTCCTTTGTTCAGACACCATGGGATGGGTAGTCAAAATTTTTTGTGCATACCTCGTCTTGTAATATTTGGCTGGCGGCATAAGGTTAAGTCATAGTGTTATGGTGACGTGTCAGGACTAGATATCTAATTAGTTTGGGGATTTGTCGTCGTCTACGTTGTTTTCTTTGAGTGTTTTTCTTTTCTTTTTTTTGTTGACATTTTTCCTCAGGTATTTTTAAACAATTGTTGCACATTTTAATTGTTTGGATTCAAATTATCAGTCAGGTGGCCCACTTTTTTTTTCTTTTTTTTTTTTAAAGTGTGTAGAGACCAGCCTTGGGTTAGCTGCTTAAATGCAGCTTGTGCGCAAATGTTTGTCTGAGATAGATTTGTAGTCAAGACCGCCTAAACCAAGACCAAGACAATACCAAGACCAGAGGGTATCGAGACCAAGACAGGCCGAGTCAAGACAAAATCGAGACGAGACCAAGACCGAGACAAAAAAGTCTTTAAACTGTAGCCAGATGCTGCTTCGTTTACGGGTGTCAGGCATATTTATGTGTTTTTGCGATGCACTCGCACAGCCCTCCTCACCGCTGTCTACTGTCACTCAATAACTGAGAGGACAGACGCGCGCTCCACTTGACTATCACGTCTCTCACCCTCTCTGTTTTTCACATAATGATATTATCCTATATCCTCGCATGTGATTGGCCGCAATATGGAGGGATTGGAGCATAGCTGAGCCACTGTGTGAGAGCTGAGCAGCGAAAGGAAATTAAGTGAGGAGCCGGCTTTCGCTCAATGGGAGTTGACTCTTCTGATTCACTACAAATCACTCTCTAAGCACGGCTCTTAGAGCTGATGCTTTTGCGCATGACACATTATCGAACATTACGTTGTATATCATGGATACTGTTGACTCCAAATCTCCCGACCACTATGTCGATCTGAGACAGCAAGAGCGAGACAGCAAGACAAGACTGAGGGATCCAAGACCAAAGTCTTTCGAGACCAAGACCACGTAAAAGTCTCTAGACATCCAACTCTAGTCTGAGAGGTCTCAGAGGTAACAGCCAAGAGGCAAACTTTGGAGCTAAAAAATGAAGCAGAAGCAAAAGTGCAATAAACTGCAGTGCTTCTAATGGCCACTTGAAGCTGCCTCCAGAAGAGAGTTAAGCACACGCATGTTAAAACACCCAACTTAACAGCTTTAAAAAGCATTTTTGAAGCCTGGTTCAAAAATGAGTTTGTCCTCTGTTGACAGTTTACCCTTGATAACTCTGAGTGGGGTAATTTTTACTGTAACTCCTCTACCAAGGTAGTTATTTAGGAGACTTTTGGAGCATTTTAATGGATTATCTGAGTAATTTTATGGTCTGAGGTGTGATGCAGACTGTTCTGGAAGTGCATTTTACTTATGGTGAGTGAATTTTAGTATTTTGTTTTAGTCCATTATTTTAGTACCAATTTGTGTGTCTGAGCTAATGAATGTAGCTGGCTAGAATAACTGGAGGGCCCCCAATATTTTATTTATTTATTTTTATTAATGAGTAAAAACCCTGATTGGGAAGAATTCATTTCATTTGACTGCTGTTGTTGCATTCTTAACCACAAAAGATGCAGAGTATGTACAGTACACAGTGTTCATTTAGTATGTATGAATTGGTCTCCTAACATCAGATAATCAGTTGGGACTCGTAAGCAAATTGAACACATCTCCCAGTCAGCATCATTAATGTAAAGGGCTCTGTCGTTGTACAGTTCCTGGTCCTGCACAAAGACAAGACAATCACTGGGAGGAAGACGCATTACCATTATTGACTGCCTTTGAGCAGATTTATAGATGCACCCCTGGCTGCGGCTCATACCCCTCCCTTTTCATCGAGGCACAACATTTTGTGCTGAGCCAATTAGCCTGATTGTGCTATTGTGCAAACATTTTTGCTCGATGCTGAAGCCGCAAATGAGTTTTTCAGAGAAGGGAGTCCTACACGTTAATGGATACACACAGCGATTTGACCTGCCAGCAATGCAGAGAGACGTATCAATATGTGGCAGATGACCTGATTTTCACACACAATGGCAGTTGTGAAGGTTGATGCATTTGGTGCCTTTTTTGTGTGGTAGTTATTTTTTTTTATATGGAGGTAGTGAGGGAGACATTTTTAGCTTCAGTGCCTGCTCGTTAGAATATTTTTGCTGCGCTCTGATAGTGTTTTTGGGCAGCAGCCAGCACGCCGTAAGGCACACACAGTCAGGGGTAAGTAGACATTTGGACTGCTGTCAGGTGGTGACATCAAGGTCCAGAGGTTAGCTGCTGGTCACGTTAGGCTGTGTACTGTTAATCAGTTTCTCTACAACATATGAATAAATGAACAAGCAAGCAATACAAAGTAGTACTTTAACAGGTTGGTCAGTCCTTCATCTGACCAACCAGAATTATTTAGCTTTTCTCCTTTTTTCTGCAAACAGAAACACAGTGCATAGGAGGACTCTTTTCCTTGTGGGAATGCAGCTCCTGCATCTAAAATCAGCAATGTGATTTATTTTTTTATTTTTTTTTCTTCATTGTAGCTTCCTGGGGTGTTTCTATTCCTCATCACTTCTGTAGCCAAATAACGGTTTCTTTTACTGCCTGTTTCCCAAGCAGCAAATCTCATGTCTACTTTACATTGTTTCCTGTGTCTGGAAGTCTGCCTTGCTGTAATTTTGTCAGCTTTTTGCAAGTGTTGAAGTAATTTGGCTTAGTTTGTACCTTTTGTTTAGTGCTCTGGCAGAGATTTACTGAGGCTAGTCCCAGTAGATTAAGAGGCTTACTCTGTTGGGTACCTGGTTTGTTAAAGTGCTTTTTCAAGACAATGATGCAGTATAGAAATAGTCTTCATCGTGACATTCTTAACATTTCATTGACATTTATTATTCCTGAAATAAATACTCTAACCCTGACAATAAATTTATTTTCCCACTACCACTGATGGATTTTTTTTTTAAAGCATGCCATCAGCCAAGTCAGCTCCTGAGGTGATATCATAACGAGATGATGGGGACAGGAGAGTTTGAGCACAGCCGTTACTCATACTCTCTCTGCCATGTCCTGTTTTTCTTTTCTGTTGGCAACCTGGGAGGAGAATGTGGGTCAGCTCTTGTATGTCAACGGAGAGGCATTCGCTTCAAGAGCAGACAAGAGTTGTGTCATGACAGATTGTGCAGAGAGATAACAGAAGTGGATGAAAATATTTAAAAGTAAACAAATAAAAAAATCGAATGAATGAGCAGTTTATACAAGGATTTTTTGCTTTATTGTTCAGTTTTTTCCATCATCGCTGACAGTGTCTTTGCTAAACTGGTGCAGCACACTCTACATGTTATCTGTCATGCATACCTAATGCTGACTTTCTCTTTTTCTCTCCCCTGCAGATGCAGCATACACTCAGCTGGTGACTGGTCTGCAGGCTCTCCATTTCTTCTCCCCGGAGTCAGCCAGCTTTCAGGGGGCAGATTCCTGCGACCCTCTTCTCTTAATCTGAGTCTCAGTCTGGGCAAAACTAACCTGTCATTGGAGTACACCACCTGACCTAATCTGTGTTGCTTGGATCAGCACAGCTCATCTCCTGACCGAGGAGAGCGCAGCGGCTGCACAGGAATCACCTTCTTCTTTTTTTTCTTTCTTTTTAAAAAAAAAATTAAAAAAAAAATCCGGCTCCGCCCACACTGCCCCGTCACGATGGTGCTGTCACAACGTCAGAGAGATGAACTGTAAGTTTCCAGAACAGCTTTCAGATTTGAAACTTACGGATTTCCGCGCTATGGTTTGTTTGTTGCCATTATGTGATCAGACGCATTTCATACTCATGTGGCTCTTACTACAGAGCAGGATGTGGTGCTTAGGATTTTCAGGGCAGGTTACCATTTCCATTGGTAACTTGTGCTGCAGACCTAACAAGCTCATGCAGAAGCCAGATAAGAAAAAGATATCCTGGGTATGCTGAAATTGCTTTGTAGTCTGCGCTCTTGAACAGCTGCCCAGTACGACCACAACCTGTTCATATTTCGGTGCAGTGATTGCATTTAGCAAAGGGGTTATGGCAGCTCTTTATTCTGATACCTAATCACATGAGTGCAAGTTATAATGCCAAATACCCCGACAAATGGTGTTGGTGTGAGCTGGCTACATTTGAGCTTCATTCGTTCACCTGTCCCAAAGCAAAATACACTGATATTTTTAAAATGGTTAAAAAACAAAAAAGCCTGAGACAAATGTCCTTTGTTGTGGTTGTAGACTGTTTACTTCCAGGGAAGGATGTGTATTGACTACAGGATTCAGTTTAAATGGTTAAATTTAGTAAATGTTTCTCCCCTCGGTAACCTGTCAAGATTAATCAATAAATGGTTAAAGGTTTCTAAGCTCCCCTGAGGCCTGAAGCACAAATTTATTGATCGACCACCTCTGCTGCCTACCCCTGCCCGATGTGACCTTAGAAAAGCTTAGACTGCCACCTTTGGCCCACAGTACAGACACAGAGATCCAAAGAGTTTGTATATTTGCGTTCTGCTCGCTGTGAGAAGTGATTCCACAGAGAAATCATGCACCCAACATAGCGTCATTGGCAGCGATGTGGCACACAGACAAAGACATGTCTGCTCATGTGCTGAGTAGAATATAGGGAGATGGGAAGAGTGAGAGGAGCTGCAGTCTGGGCTTGGTAATTAGCACCTCAGGCAGGGATAAAATGTTAAGGCATCTCAGTGTGAGATGGAAGGTCATGAGCAGGCGTTGAGATCATCTTCCTGAGCTTTAGTTGTGGAAAAAATATCCATATCTGTGCAAGTCAGGAGTGTCTAACTTGCTTTATTGCGCCAGGTGATAAAACCCATTGTAAAATAATATATGATAGAATAGGGCTGTGCGACATGACCAAAATCTCATATCCCGATATAAGACGTCTATTGTCCCGATAACGATATAAATCACAAATGTAACCTGACCTGTACCTGGAGTCGAGTGTTTTAACAGATGCATGAAACTATACATTTTTAGACATAAGTTGTAACGGCCGCCGTTTTCTTTGAGTATTTATTACACAGCGTGCTGCGGGGAAAAGCCTGTTCTAACGTTTGAGTCTAAGGTTTATTTTTTAGCACCTGACGGCTCTTTTTTTGCTTCTCATCCGTAAATACTCTGCATACTCTTTCATGTGATTCAGTTTATTTTGAAAAGTCTCAACAGGATCTTGAGCTTTATTGTGAAAGGTTTATGTGGAAAAATAAACAAACGGGTGGTTTTACGATGGTTTTACCGTGGTTGTTGCTAACGACAACGCATAAAAACAGGCACTTGCCCGTCCGTAGTGTGGTTATATTAAATATAAGAGAAAGAGAGAACTTTAAGAAATTAATATAGCCACCACAGTGACCATCAAAACGATGAAAAAATATTGCCGTAAACAGTTTATTTTGCGACACCACGAAACAAACGATAGCGTAAAATGAAACGATAGACGTTTTTATATAGTCATCCAATATATATCGTTAAACAGCCCTATGATAGAACACCATCCACTCAATATCTTTCTCTTAAAGAGTAAATGGGCACATTCTGAAAATTTCCCCTCAGCCATAACCAAGATTTTATAAAAATCATAAATTGTAGGGCCTACCAGAAACACTAGGCCAAACTGGACCCTTTGGCAGGCTAGTTCTAGCTTCCAAGTTACATCTTTGGTGATGGAATTACTATGTTAGAGCCACAGATTTTCCTTTGTCTTTCAATGAGGTGAAGACCTTGTTGATGGCCTGGTTTGTTTTGGGTGTTTGTTTGTTTTGTTCATGTTTGTTTTGTTTTTTTTTTTCTTCTTTTCTAACCGCCATCTTGCACTGTCATTGAAAAAATGCCTCACTGCATGTGACAAGGCTCTCAGCATTCCTCAGTCTTTCTCTGTGATTAGTGCTGTGGGAGGGGTCCGTTGGTATGGAGAGCTCCATTGGAATGCTAATCTTTCGTGCTATTTGCTATTCAAATTAAGCTGGCAGGACCCCCCCCCAACCAAAACAAAACAAAAATCCTTCTTTCTTTTTTCCCCCCTTTCTCTCTGTTGCACAAGTTTCTACCCCCAGTGGTATACAGGAAACCGTTGAGGGACCCCCTGAGTCGCATTCAAGCATCAACGAATCACATTTGTTAGTGATGTTGCTTGGCTCAGATAGTGCTCTCATGCAGTGCCCTTAAGATGTCATTTCCCAGCTGACTTTCTCATTTTGCGAAGCCTGCTTGGAAACCAAATGGCCCGTTTTGAATCCAAACAAGGCGGTAATGGGAACAGTGACCGGCTGATTGTCTGCTCTTCACACTAATTTTTCATTGGGCCCCCTCCTTTCTTTGCCACAGCCCTGTTTAGCATTAGGCACCAACCCAATAAATTTAGTTCCCATAGCATTCAAGCATCTTCTTCCCTCTTTTTCACGGTTGAACTGTTAAAAGTAACCAATCGACTGGGGGGCAGTAAAAGCGCAGCTTTACAGTCTGTTTTCTTGAAGAAATATTTTTGCACATTATTCCTCTTTTTTTTTTTTTAAGAGGAATAATCTTTGTCAGCACCATAGTCAGATGCCGTGATTGCGCAGCATCTTCACAACTTATTTTCTTTGTCTTTTTTTTTTTTTTTTTACTGCCACTGAAAAGCCCGTTTGTGTTCCTTTCCAGGGTCAGGAGACTTATCCCCAGCAGCGTGTACCAAAAATAGATACAGAACACAAACTATCTGCTCCCCTGAAAGACCTTGGAGGCACTTATGTGCAAATGGGCCTTTGCTTTTGAACTCTTTTCTTTATTAAAAAAAATAAAAAATAACCAACTCCATGTCTTGGGCAACAAGATGGTGCATGTGATTTTATTTTTCGTTCTTTTTCCACCATGCCCTTGTCTATAAATGTGGTGACATAACAGATGAAATTCAAAGATATGGTGATAACTGCCAGAGGCAGTCAGAACTGTGGTATAAAGAGTTCACCGTGGCTCAGTTTGATCATTAACAGGACTTGGATCATGTTTACCTGTCAAGATACTAGTCCTCTAAGTCCCAGTGTTCACCCTCATTCAAATAAACTCTGTTATCCAATGACTCCTGCTTGTGTTTTGGCTTCACTTTGAAAAGCTGAACCACGGACAAAAAAAATATATAGTAGTTTGGATATAATGTAAATGTTCAGCAGCAAGTCTGCTGCTTTTCTGTAATAAAGACAAGGAATTATGAAAGCACATTGCTTTGTTAGATTATGGAAAGCTTTTAAAATGATCCGCTGTTGTAGTGATTTTTAAAAATGGCTCATTTGAGAGTAAAACTTTTTGATAAAACATGGTCTTTATTTTGTAGACTGTGGTAAATGGACTGGTTCTTATACAGCGATTTTCCATTCTACTTATGCATAGCCAAAAATATTTATCACGATATATATTTTAAAATTTGCAATAATGATATAACTGATGATATAATTGACGCGAGACAAAATACTTTACAACTCCACAACTTTATTAGTGCAAAAGAACCCCATCAGTGTATTTTTAACTTAAACAAGCAGCTGTTTATGTGGATTAAAGCTATACAAAATTTTAACAGTGGAAATTCAAATTCCTTGCTGACAGTTTAACCAAAAGGCATTTCCAGTGGAAATGGGCTGACATCTCCTGAGCATAACCATGTATAACATCCACAAAACTTTAAAAAAGTGGTTATACACACACAATACGATAATATTATGTTGAAGCACAGTACGTATTACTTCGCGAGGCTCCTGACTACAGTAGCTGTAATGCTCCGGCAATCCATCATGCAGTACGGGTTTGTAGCTTAGTCGTACTAAAACATTTTTTGACAGATTTTTGAGCACCGTGTACCACATAAAATCGGTTTGAGGTCAGTAAGCACAACCAGAATTCATACATAAGGTGCACCGGATTATAAGGGGCACTGTCGATTTTCAGAAAATTAAAGGATTTTAAGTACACCTTATTTTCCAAAAAACACTGTAATAATGCCCGCTAGCATGCACTACCACAAATTGTGCTTTCATGTGTATCTGACGGGCAAAAACCAAATCAGTTCAACATCACTGAAGTTGCACCATTTTTACAAACCAATTCTGGTTCATCTGTTTTATTTAACGATCCGCTTTCGCCCTTCTCATTCTCTGCCACCGCCATGCTTTTTCCGCCATGTGCGTATGAAAACAAAGGCACTGCGCATGCACGTTTTACCCATATTCTATTGCGATATTCCCTTTTCTTATCATTGCCTTTTTTCATATAACATGTTTCATTCACCTGTCATTCAAGCACTTTTTTTTTTCTACATGTAAGCACTTTCTAACATTCACACACATCACGAATGACCACACAGCAGTTAACACATAATGCACCAACACAATCAATGACATCAGCCAGTTATGTAGGTGATGTCATAGGCCTTTCAAAGATTTGAAGATGTGCATGACTAGTCCAGTTGATATTGCTGCCCTTGCTAGTTGTCACCAATGTTTCAGTGTGTTGTCACTTTTTGATTAATCAGTCTGATCTGTATCCTGTTGTTTAATTGTTGAGTAATTTAGTTTCCAGAAACATTCCTGCTTGGCAACTAATTTACTAGGCAGGTAAGGTGATAGGGTTCACGGCAGGTTACCTTTTTACCTTCTGATATCCACCACTGTGCTTGTCATGTCTGGTTTGGTGACAGTCAAAATGCACAGTATGCGTTTCAGATGGAGCCTCGCAAACCAATGGGCAACATCACATGACTACGAATAATTTAGAGGGTGCATATTTAAACATAGCTGTGCAAGCTAAACGAGAGGTTCAGATTGATTGCGTGTCGCTTAAATCAGTTAGCCTTTGCACTTTTTGTCAGTTTTAAGTGTTACTGTACAGATTTGTGGCTTATAAGTCAAAGGTCCTTCCTTTTTCATTAATTGAACTTATTGCATTCGTTCTCCCCAAGTTGGGTCCAGAGAAGTTGTATTTTGCTAGTAGATAAGTGTTGAGCGTGACAGATGTTGTTTTTTTTTTTTTGTTTTTTTTTCTCTTTCTTCCTCTCCCCTCCATGGTGGTGGTAGTAGTGAGCAGGAGGTTCTCCAGCCTCTCTTTTGGTTCTCAGGGAACTGAACACAGTTTGGTGCACGGGTGTGTCAATCAGATTTTTGCGCTGGCATGACAGCACTCCTTGTTTTGTGGACCATCATCTCTTATCAATTAAGCTAGTTAAGACAGTTTCAGTTGGTTGAAACCTCGATCGGTTGCTCATTGGAGTTTCCAGTGGTTTAGTTTACCTAGACTTTTACTGTCGAGAGTCAGCATTAATTTTCTTTATAGTCCCTCCCTGGTTTCCTCATTACTTGTATTTCATTTCAGCCAGACCTTTCTCAGTGCGTTTTCATAATGCATCATATTTATTAGTAGTATAATAATTATTCAAATCCAAGGTACATTCCTAAGTAAGACAGATTTGTGGCTCAAGACCTCTACCACCAGAATTCTCCCATAGATTTAAATGGAGGGCTCTCTAAGTGCCATGTGTGTCTCTGTCACCTATGTTGTGTCTGGCTTTATTCTGTGTTTATCCAAGGATGAATTATGCACAGCCTCACTGGATTAAAGAAAGTTTGACTTTGGCTTCAGCTCAGTCAACAAAACTCCATCGCTGTTTGACAGAAAATGTGTATATGCCACACCCATTATAGAAGAAAAAAAAACCCTGCTTTTGTTTTCTTATTTTAACATAGACACCTGGTTTCCACACCCATGCTGCTTTTGATCTTAAAAGCCATCTGCTTCTACACACCCACAGAAACGCACAAAGGAAAGTCAATGTCTAAAGTCGACATTTACTTAAAATAAATAGATAAATATAGAATGATGTTAGAACCTTCTTCTTTTCTGAATTCCAGTATAGTGGGGTTTTTCTCCTTGGATTTTTCTCATGGCTTAAATGATAATCCCCACAAAAAAACCATTCCCCTACCTGTTTCACACTCACGCTGACTGCATTGTGATCATCATCCTTCTCAGAGGCTTTGTGATGAGAAAGATGGAAATCTTTCAAGGGGTATTTCTGCCTTTGGGGGCTTTTCTCTGGGGTTTCCCTGACTTTCAGAAGCCTTACCATTTTAGGTTTGGGGAGGATGGATTATTATTTTAAAGAAATTGTAAGTACTAGTAGTAGTAGTTGTGTTAAATCATGTTTTTTCAGCTACTGTCTTCATTGTAGTTATGAAACAAAGCTCAAAGCCCTTATTGGCTTTTTGGGGTTTTTTTCACTTGCGTTTGATCCCTTGACGTATATACGTTGTGCTGTTGCCCCACAGTCACACCCAGCAGAGCAGTGTTCCCAACACTGGTCCTTTCTTTAAAATGGTTACCCCTGTCTGTGTGTTGAAGGAAAAAGTAGACCTTTACAGAACAGAATGAGGTATAGCCAAATAGTCTTTAATATAGTGTTCAAGTTAGTGTGAATCGAATATAAGTATTAAAGGCAACATGGAAAGTGATAAACTAAATCACTTTTGGGAACACATTTCATGCATGTGCATACATCTTCATGTGCAAGTTGTTTATCTTTGCGTCTGCATGTCGGTGTTACTGGTATTTGCTCACTGCAGACTTGGAGAGGGGAGAGTTTACCCGATTGGAGTGTTTTCTCTTCTTTGTTTGACCTTTTTATCCTCTTTGAAGTTGAAGCCATTAATATGTTGTATATAGGCTCTATATTTATATATGTGCTTGTTGTTTTTATGTTGATAGATAGATGTCTTATTGTGTTTACTTGGTTTAAAACAAAAACCCTTAGGTGGTCTGAAAAGCTTTCTATGACAGACAAAGCCCTGCTTCTGGAAAAACAAGGGTGGTGATTGCCTGAAGGTGCCAACCAAAGCCCAGAGCTCTTCTTTATCAGTCAAGTAAGAGGAATAGAGCGATTTTCATAGAGCTAGATTTAGCTGGGAAGTTATGCAATCTTGTTATTTATTTATTTAGTTAAAGTTCTCACTGAGAAGTTATCACCTCATTTAATATTAAAGGCAAATTTAGACCACTGCTGCAATTCTGCTTCATGTTGCTAATTGCCCGCAGCCTTATTGTTTAATATAAACACTAATCATAAAAAACAGGGCAGTGCTGTGTGGTGATGCAACCAATGTCTTTGCTGTTTGCACAGTGATCATCATCAGACAAACCAACCACTGACACAGCCTCTTTCACCTTTAGTAGCAGTCAGAATGCCAGAAAAAGTCCAGTTGAGATGCAGCGTTAGTTGAGATGCACATAGCAAAGAGCTGTGCTGTCTTTTGAAGAACATAACATTGCAATATGAAATCCAGGGTAAAGTGAATTTTGAATATGCTAAGATATTTTTCAGAGTGTAGACCTGAGCTGTGGTCTGTTAAATATTTATCAGGAGTCTTGAAATGCAAACGGGCCCGTAGACAGAAATGGAAATATTCCTTTGTGAGGGCTTTTTGTGGTTATACAGCAGGGGGGCAACATCCTGTTCAACCAGCTGTAGCTAATGGAGCTGCTGTGTAGTGTGTGGTGCATTGTAGGTTAAATGTATTCTAATCTGTGCCTTAACAAGAGGGTGTTTGTTGGCTGATTAATTTCTATGCTCTGCTGTAATCACTGGGCATGTCAATAAATTAAATGATAGCCACACATTTATATATGACGTGCTTTATGGAGTGTTGCGTTTAGTTTTTCATACTAAACTAGTTAATAATCTAAAGAACATTAGTCTGATCTGAAAAATCAGGAGCCAGAATTAACAACAGAACTTTGCTAAGCTACCAACCCGCACCACTTGATGGATTGTCGGAGCATTACGGCTACTATAGTCAGGAGCCTCGCGGAGTAATACGTACTGTGCTTCAACATAATATTACCGTATTGTGTGTAAAACCTCTTTTTAAGTTTTGTGGATATTATACATGGTTATGCTCAGGAGATGTCGGCCCATTTCCACTGGAAATGCCTTTTGGTTAAACTGTCAGCAAGGAATTTGCATTTCCACTGTTAAATTTGCGTATAGCTTTAATGCACATAAAAAAACAGCTGATTGTTTAAGTGAAAATACTTGATGGGGTTTTTGGGGTTTTTTTGGTTTTTTTTGCACTAATAAAGTTGTGGAGTTGTAAAGTATTTTGTCTCACGTCAATTATATCATCAGTTATATCATTATTGCAAATTTTAAAATATATATTGTAATAAATATTTTTGGCCATATTGCCCTGCCCTACTTTACAGTCATATTGCTTTCTCCTTTTCCTGCACATTCACCCCCAAACTGCTCTTTCTTTCCTGTTGGTTTGTTATTGTTTTGGCTGTCCTGCTAACGTCCAACGTACTGCATGGTGAAGTTAATGTTGGGCTCATAGACCAGCATTTTTCATTTAAAACCTGAGCGACAATCTTTCTGTGCAGTATTATTTAGTTAGTATGCTGACAGCGGTGTTATAAATCTTTAATAAAAATATTAAATGAGAGCAATAAATATTGGGTAATTGAACAATCTGCTTTATTTGTTTGATTTAGTTTAGCTTTAGGGGAGGCTGTGTTCGTGCTTCTCATTTCTCATTTCTAAAAGGAAGCAAAGTGGGAACTGCGAGGAAGTGATGTCACTGGCAGACGAGCTGGATGCCTGACTCCCTCTCTTCTCAGAAGGATGAGGTCATGCATCTC